CGCCCTACAGGAACATAGAAGGGAAAGGGGATGGGGGGGGTGAGATAGAAGGGAGGGCAGATTAGGGGAAGGGGTATACAGAATACATGCTATCTTGGGGTGGGGGGAGGGATGAGATGAGGAGAAAATTTAGAACTCAAAATCTTGTGGAAATGAATGTTGAAAAGTAAAAATAAAAAAAAATTTTAAAAATGAGTGGGTTGGATAAGGGTGGGTAGAATTTGGAACTCAAATTTTAAAAAAACATGTTAAAAATTGGTTTTACATGTAATTGGGGAAAAATTAAATACTAAATAAGTAATTTTTAAGAATTCTAAGTTGAAAAAATATATAAATCAAGGCCTGAAAAAAAAAAAGGCCTCGGGAGTCATCAAGGCGCTGAGGGGGCCAGGAAGTGGGGGGCTTTCCTTCCTTGTCTGAATGAGCTGGCCAACGCCAGCACCCAGAGGCTTTAGGAGAAGAGTGTCTGACTCCTCCCAGGTGGAGCAGGACCGCGCAGAGATGGAGGTGCTGGAGGAGGCCACAGGCCAAGCAGGGCTGCTGCCCTTCCCGGGATCCAGCAGGCTCTGGACACTGGGAGCGCAGCAGGGAGCAGGGTGAGGACCACCCCCCTCCCCAGGAGGGAGGAGCAGCCGGAAGCTTCGGTGTGTGCTTTGGCTATGCCTGCTCCCAAGGTGGTGCTTCTCCCCACATTCCCTAAATGTCTCCATCGCTCCCCCTGATGCTGTGCATCATTGAGGAGGGTGGCCATGCCTCCAGACTTTGGCGCCAAATATCTGGTGGCCACTTTTCTTACCTCGTCGTTTGCTTCAAAGCCTCGGCTTTCTCCTGTCAAATGAAGGGGCAGTGGCTATGGCTTTGGGGGTGCAGACTGGGGCCATCCCAGACCCCACCCCCAGGGGCCACACTCTTATTGGCTTCATGGTGATCATTCTGCAAGCACAGCAAGGTTAGCTTCTAGGAAATGATGTCATTTGTTGCCTTTGGATGCAGAAGGAAACCAAGTCCAGACTGCCTGATTTGCGTCTCCTAAGAAAATCTGTGAGTCAGCTTCCAATGGAGGGACAACATCTTCATTTGGAGAGAGGTCACCATCTACACTGTCCAGCGGCTGGGGGGCGGGGTGCAGCTGACTCCCATTTTATGAACCTGACATCTGCCAAGGAGACCTGGGGGCGCACTTTGGGGGTGCCTCGGACGTGGTGAGAAAGCTGAGCCAATGGCCTGACTCCAGGGTGTGTTTTGTGCAACGTGACTGCCTGCTGCTCCTCGCCTCGGTTTTCATCAAGGACGCCCTCCATCTGTGTGCAAAGTATTCCAGTAAACATTGTCTCAAGACCAGACAGTCCACACAGGGCTCCTCCTGGGCCCTCCAGACCAAGCTGCATCTGTACCAAAGTGGCCTCTCAAGGCAGCCATTCCCCCTGTAGACAGCTCTGAAGGCTGGCAGGGTAATGGGGGTGTAGACCATGAGTCCTGGGAACACGCCTGCTCTTTCTGGGAAGGGCCTGAGGATGTGGGATGAAGGGGCTGGCCTCCATCAAAGCATGCGCTAGAATGACTGGCCTCTTCTTCCTGTACATCCAGTGAGGATAAGCTGCTGGGGGCCTCCAGGCTAGAGTGGAGTCTTGGCTGAGACCCCCAGATCCACCCCACATGAGCAGCATGTACCCCTCTGTGACTTCTGCCCTCCTTTCCTGCCTTGGGTAAAGGAGTTTAGAGATGAGGCAGAGGAGGCTTTGACCCCACGAGCTTCTAAGGGTCAGAGAGCTGGAGATGGGGCCAGAGGCAGCAGCCCAGCAGCGGCTATGTTGAGGTCAGATTCGGGAGAACTGTCCGAGTGTGAAAGAATTCACTTAGAAGGTCTCTGTAGCCATTGGGAGCTTGATTACTTGAAAGCACATGGACCTTTTTAGAAGGAAAGCTAATTGAGGCCCTGGTATTTGGGAGAACAAGGCTTATATAGAGGTGTCAGAATGATGATATAATTTATGGGGGTTAAAGATTAAGGACAGGATAAGTACAAACAGGATGAGGAAAGGGTTGCTTACAAGATAAGGAGGAATTTTATGTCACAGGATGGTTGACAGGATAAGAAGGACAGGGGGACACAGGATAAGGAAGAAAAAGCAATTCTTTTGGTCTTAAAAGATGAGGAGTAGTTTTAACGTATTTCAAGATAAAGGGAAAAGGACTTTAGGATGCCCTCAAGTTACAGGATAAGCTACAGAGTAAGTCCCAACCCTCTTCAGAAGGGGCCTCACAAAGTAATGGAAAAGCAACCCTTAATATTCTTTTTAACCCTTTGAGCACCGTATGCTGTATCCACATCAGCCAGACTGAGCCAGCAGCCAAGACGATGGGTCCACAACCAGGACAGCCTCTGCTGAATGCAGCATGAACTCTATTCAGGGCTGGCTGCTGAGTGACACGTGGGCTGGTGGTGGTTTGGGGAAAGGTCTGGATCCCTCTTCTTATAGCAGCAGCAGGACCAGGCTGTCACAGGCTCTCAGAAAGCTTTGGCCCATAGCAGCCTGTCCTTGCCCCAGGACACCGGGAAAGGGAAGGGGACTAAATTGCCCCATGGGAGTCTTTTGCACAAGCTCCCAGGTCTGGTTCAGTGGCTACCCCAAAGCCCAGCGCAGGAAGGCCTCAGGCCCTTCCCAGACATGCAAGGGCCACGTTCGCCACACTCTGCCCTCTGCGACCAAAGAGCACAAGGGCGTCCCCTCTGACTGGAAGGCCCCTCCGATCCTCAAAGCCAGCCATCATGGCCCTCCTGCGTCTCTACCCCAGGCTCCTTCTAGCCATCCTCACATGGCAAGAGCTTATGGCCTCTCCTTCCCTGGCTGCTTTCCTCTGGATGTTCTCCAGCTGATCAGGCTTTTCTAAAATAAGGTGTGCCAACCTGAACACAGCACTACGAATGTGCCCTGTCAGGAGAAAATGCAGCAGGAGGATCCCTGCCCTGGTCCTGGACACTGTGTTCTCTTACTAAAGCCTAATTCCACCCTAGCTTCTCTGATGGCCACTGTATCGGACTGCGGACTCACCCTGAGCTTGCAGGCCACTCAACTGCCTACATCTTTGTCAGACAAGTTACGTCTAACCATGCCTTGCCCTCCCCGTGCGCAAAGTTGATTTTTTGCGCCCAAGTGAAGACTCTACAGGTATTCCCATTACGTTCCATCTAGGTCCAGCCCAATCCTATTACGGTAATGTCACAGGTGATTTTTCCCCTAATCACCTACTATCCTCTCCCTCCTGTGGACATCTTGAGAACTAGCCCCTCGATGACCTCATGACCAGAAGAGTCCCCTGCATGCATGCAGGCTGGTTGAATGGCTTGCTCCGTTGTGTTTCTCTTTGTGCAATTTTCCTTCTTCATGTGACAAATGCCGTCCAGATCCAGAAGCTTCCTCATCCCTGAGGGAAGAACGCTGGCTAGGCTTGGGTGGTTTTGTCTGTTTGGGGCTCCCCTTTGGCTCCTTCCTCAAATGCTCTCAGGATGACCTGGTGCATCTTGGCCCTCGTCAGGCTGCCTACATGCTCTTCTTTCCTTCTATCTCTTCTGCTTCATGAGTCCCTATTGCTCATAATCTCCCATTATTTTCCTTCCTCAGGTTTTAGTGAATGAGTTGTTGCCTGGGGCCTCCCTCTCTCTGCTCCTTTGTCTTCCTTTGTCCAATTCCCATTGTCTGCTGTTAATGGTGTTTTTCTAAAATGTTAGTCTAGAGCCTTCAGTGGCTATATCATATCTTCCCCTTGTGACTCCTTCTTCTAACTTGGGGCTCATTTTGACTTCTGTCCTAACACACTGATGGTCTGATGTACTTGGACAACAGATTCAGAAATTATTCCCATTTTGGTAACCAGTCATTTTCCATTGGCAAGCTAAGTAAACTTCATCTCTTGTGATGCCTGCATGTTGAGTGCCTCCCCAGCCCTTCTGGAAGAAAGCACTGACTGTACGTCAGCATAAGACTTTTCTAGCGGATTCCAGTCTTCGACCACTTTTGTCTCTTGATCTTGAACTACACTGTCAGTCTTCATCCTGAAGTCATCAATTATAAAAGCCTGGAAATAACCTAAGTGTCTAACAACAGAGGATTGGTCCAATCACATGTGATGTACTAATGTAATGGTACATCATGCTACATTTGTGATCGATCACTATGAGGGGTATAAGAATAAGACAATAGCTAGCAATCCTACAGTTCTCTGACACGTGCCAAGCGCTTTACAAATATTATCTCATTTGATCCTCACGACAGCCCTGGGAGGGAGGTGCTGCTATTATCATCCTCGTTTTATAGATGGAGAAACTGAGGCAGACACAAGTGGCTTCAGAGCCGCACAGGGAGTGTCTGAGGCCAGATATGAACTCGGGTCTTTATGAAATGCTTATTGTGAAGTCAAAACCCAAAACAACCCTGAAGTAAAAGCACAAGGCCCAGGCTCACTATAAGCCTATAAAGGGAGAAGGGGATGGAAACACGGAGAATGCTGACAGGATCGGGGCTGACTGACAAGTCATCACAGCTGTTTTATGGGCTAAAATCATGTTTCCAAACGTAAGGTGACTGTAATGGGTTTTATGGAAGTCTCCTATGGGTGTTACAATAAATTACCAGCATTTTCTTTAGGTAAAAAGAGCCATCTAATGACAGCAGCCCCGCCCCATGTCTGTGTAGGGCTCTGGCTCCCCCCGGCCAGCGAGGCTGAGACCTGAGGCGCAGGGACATTCTTGTGGTATACCAAAGAGGCCCAGGCCACTTATTCCAGTGACTTGGGGCTCCACTTGGCCTCCAAGGGGAGTGTTGGGGCAAAAACTCCTAAAATAGTCAATTTAGTCTGTAATCTTTTCTGCCGCCCTTTTCTCCCTTGGGCAGATGCTACCAGCACATTTGTGGCTTTACAAGGACCACCATGCAGCCCTCAAAGGATCTCTGGATCCCACCCCTGCCAGATACGTACAATCTCTCCACCACGTTTCTTACCATGGCTCTTGCTTCCTCCCGAATGGAAGGTATGGAAAGAATGCTGTACAAGGCGCCATTCACATACGGCTGTATCTACAGGGAAAGAGACAAGAATATGTTGAACTGACTGTTCTTGAATGTCCTCTGTTACCACAATTCAAACACGAGCAGGATGAGGGTCAATGGCCTGGTAACAGCAGTGTCCTACATGCTGCGATGTCATGGGGTCTCCAAGTCAAAGGGACCCAGTGACCATCCAGGATAAACCTAAAGAGGACCCTCCTCTGCGCTGTCTCTGACAAGAGGCATCCGCCTCTGGCGATGAGAACTGCCTGGAAACCTCTGCCCCCCAGGCTCCTGCTTCTGCCCTGGGGGGGCCGAGCTCCCCTGCACCTGACATCCTCCCTAAGTCTTCTCTCCTTCAAGCCACCTAGAACCAGGCCTGCATGACCTCATAGCCCTGCCTACAGGAAGTACCATGGCCGGCCTTCTCTTATCAACGCCCTTTCTAAAACTGTGTGTGCCAGGGCCAAACGCAGCGGGAGCTAATGGATCTGGGATTTCATGGCAGCAGTGCAGACTGCCCCACTCCGGTCTCTCTAGTTCCCTCCCAATGCTGGGGGCCCTCTTGGTTCGTTATCGGCCCCTCCCTCCCCAGTCGTGACCGGCCGCGTCCCTTTCGCCTGAGGCTCCATGCTGGGATTGGCAGCCAGTCAGTGGTCTGTGTCTCATCTGTCATTCTTCAGACTAGAGAGTCCCAAAACTCACAGCCGGCCCATGGCGGAATGAGCCCTGCACTGCTCCTGGATACTCCGCCTCTCTTACCGCCACCCAGGCCCTTTTCAGAGGACCTGCTGCTGCTTCTCTTCTACTTTAGGATGACCACACGCTGAACCAAGCGTGCATCACATCTCATCTCTCTGGAGGCAGCTGGTCCAGACCTTTTGAGCCTGACGTGTCATCTTCTCCATTAGAGTGGGAGGTCCCTGAGAACTGACTCTGCATTGTGCCTATCACCAGCACCCAGGATGGAGCTGGGCACACGGTGAACGTTTAAACAATGCTTCTGATTGGCTGCTCTGACGTCGGTGTCGCTAAATTGTCCTTTCTATTGCAGCTGACGAGGAGAGAGAGCAGGGGATCCAGGTGCGAGCCCTCTGGGGCAGGGCTTTCTCAATGTGTCCGTACGTGTCCCACATCACCCTGGCTCCTCCTGCATCGGGTTGAGCGGCAAGCTTCCTGAAGCCCCACACAGGGTACGCACCCAAGGACCCCTGGCGACGACCCTGTGTCCCACAGCAGCAGCCTCTGAGTTTCTCGCCTCTCCCCGTTCTCTCAGGGCTGCCTGTGATGGCGCTCAAAGGGCCAAGGCACAAGACCTAGACAACATGCTCCATGATGGAGTAAGTGCCACGTTGCTGGTGGTCTTTAGGATGTACGAGATTCAAACAGAGTGACCAAGGCAGTGTGTGTAACAGACAACCGATGTTCCCCAAAGAGCCTCCAAGGCAGCTCAGGCTTGCCACAGCGCACCAGGCTTCCCCGGAGCCCCGTGTGCCTGGAGCCCCTCTCCTCTCCTTCAGCCAGAGCTGAGGCACCCCGGGCTCCCAATCTGGGGCTTCTCCTCTGCCCCAGCCGGCAGCTGAGCCAACATCACGGCTGGGGTTTGTGCATACGCATCTCTGTCTCTTTTCGCAGTTGTGATCAAGGGAGGACTGAAATTTTCAGATGACTGTAAAGGACAAAGATCCTTTCTGGGCTAGAAATTGACTTCTGGCTGGCTCCCAATGGCATCTTTTTGTGGGACCCAAGGATTGTCCACACAGTTATGATGTGAGCTGGGAGATGCCAATTTGATAAGGCAAAGCTATCAGGGAGGGCAACTTTGGGAGACGCGGGGACCTTTCTCTAGGATCTGAGAATCCGATTCACACCAGGCTGCACACAGGCAGATTTGGTCTACCTCCTAACAGCTACAACTACACTGAAGTGGCAGTGAGGCCTCACTCTTTCCAGGCACCTATCTGCTCACACTGACAGTGACCCACCTCTAGCCTCCGACCCTTTCTCTTCTGTGACAACGTGACCCGCCCTAAAAGCCCTGGCCTGTCTCAGGAGGCAGTGCGTCCCTTGGCGGGGGGGCTATTGAGGGGAGGGGGATTAAGCCACAGTAATGCAGACACACACAAGTGCGCCGCAGCAGGAACGAGGATGTGGTGAGTGGTGGAGGAGAGGAGCATCCTCAGATGCGGCAGACACGCAGCGGCAGGGATGGCCATCCACTGCGCATCTAAGAAGCGGGACCGAGGATCCTAAAGTCAGCGTGACAACCAGCTGCCCGGTCAGTCGTACAGAACCAGCGGCAGCAAAGCCTCACCTCCTGGTTCTCGTGGCCGAGCAGATCCGACAGGACTTTGAGCACGAGGCCGGCCACCTTAGCGCACATGTTCTTACCTGCAGAAAAAGAAAACAGATGGGACCCGGCCCGGAATGTGACCTCACCGCTGCTGCACGGCGAGGCCGCGACTGCTGCCAGCGCTCCCAGGGTTCCCTCGAGTTTACTGACACTTCACATTCATCATCTCGTCCGATCCTCAAGACAGCCTTGGGAGCAACATGTTGTGAGCCCCACCTGGGGTGATGGCGGCTATGTGACTTGCCCAAGGTCTCCAGCTGCTAGATGTCAGAGGCAGGATTTGAACTCTGGTCTTACAAACTCTAAGTCCGACACAGACTCCACTGCGACTCCCAGACATGCCGGCCCCACACAAGGACCATTGCGGCCCTAATCGCTATGGAAATAAGCACCAAACACCGGTTGGAAGGGAAGGGGAAGGGGGTCGGCATTTATATGAAGCTTCACAAATATTTCATTTGATCCTCACAACCACCCTGGGAGAGAGGTGCTATTATTATCCCCATTTGCATTTGAGGAAACTCAGGCGGACAGATTAAATGACCTGCCCAGTGTCACACTAAAATTAGTATCGGTTTTGTTTTGTTTGTTGTTTTTTTAGGCAATTGGGGTTAAGTGACTTGCCCAGGGTCACACAGTTAGTTGAGTGTCAAGTGTTTGGTCTGAGGCTGGATTTGAACTCAGGTCTCCCTGACAGCAGGCCCAGTATATTATTCCCTGCACCACCTAGAGGCCTCTACTGGAAAGTTGGTTGGTTAATACCAAGTTGAAATACCAATTAACTGAATTCCTATTACCTGAGAAGAGGCCAGTATTAGCTCATTGTTTCTCAGGTCACCTGGTCTCAGAACTGGGGATGGGAACATGAGTAGGCTGCTTATTAGGTCAGTCTTCACTGACCCTCCCATCCCGTACAGACGGAGCTCCAAAGTATGGTTTCCTCCTCCCAAGAGGACGAGAGTTAGGCCCAGGGCCAGCCAAAGTATGCTAATAGCCTGGCCTGGCAGGGAGGCTCTTGTCTCCTCCTCTGGGTTTCTCAGAACGCAGACACCATCCTGAGCCACTTGCCCACCTCAGGCTAATCTCCCGAGGCCTTCTGGCTGAGTGGATTCACCAGAAGCAGGGCCCCTGCTGCCCTACAAAGACAAGGGCAGGAGGACAGAGGCCTTGGGTCATCGTCCACACAGTTTTGTGAAGCATCAGAGCACTGGCTGCGGAGTCAGGAAGACCAGGGTCCAAATCCTATTCTGGACACTCTCCAGTGCAGGAGGGACCTGTGGGGGTCACTTAGCCTAGCCCCTTCACTTTACAGATGAAGAAACTGAGGCCCAGAGAGGGCATTTGGGTTGAAGATGAGTGAGAACTGTAGAGTCCAGGTGGGCAGAGGGACACCAGGCTTCTGCTATGACAGCTGGCCCAACCCATGACCAATACAACACACGTACCCCTAGAACGGCTCCCTTCACTACTCCTGAATCTCCCGAGCTGATGACGGTGGTGAGCAGCATCGGGCCCATGGGCATGCCGGCCCGTCCCCCCCAGACCCCAGGAGGCAGAGACCTGCACTGCGGAGGCAGAGGTTCATGAGCAAGGCGACGGAGTACTCGAGAGTGTAGTCGGACAGGCAGTCGGGATCCCGGAGCACTTCGATGAGCCAGAAGATGAGGCCGTCCCGGATCATGGCAGACTGCAGCGCACGCCTACAAGGGAAAGCCCTGGGTTATCTCACACGGGCAAGAGAATGCAGTCAGGAGCCGGAGCAGAGATCTGGGCCCAGGACGAGCGCCGGAGCTGCCCACGCTCAACAAAGGTGCCGGATCCCACACACTCACGTCCCTTTCTCTTGCTTGTCTAAACGGACACCAGAAAGGGCAGAGCTCTGCAGAGTGCCTTCACGGGGGAGACAACAACTCAATTTTAGGGGGCAGAAATCTAAAGGGGGTTTCCACACACACTCCCTTCCTTACTGGCCAATTCGGCTCCACTCTCGAAGGTCAGGCTTGAAAACGTCCTGACTTCCTTTGCCAGCCTCTCCATGCTTTGGTTTGCTCGCCTAGCCAAAGCTGGAGGGAGGCCAGGTGGAGAGCGACCAGAGCTCTGGGTCTGAGACACAGGTTCAAAGCCATCTCTGCTGTGGCCAGCCCTTACACCTCACCAGGTCTCAGTTTCCTTCTCTGTAAAATGAGCTAACTGTGATGTCCCTTCCCCAGGGCCTAGGTCTTGAGGGGCCTCACTGCAGTCTCCTAAACTCAAAGAAAGCTCCACGAATGAGCAGCTGTGGTGCCCTCGCAGCCTTGGCCAATCTGTAGGAAGGAATGGTTTCCCCTACACAACCTGAGGGGTTTGAGCAGGCGAAAGGTGATTATAAAGGTGCCCCAATCCACCTTGAAGCAGCCGTGACCGCTCGGGCTGGCTCCCGGGCAGGGCCCCCTCTGTTAGAATTCAGTGAGGGGGAGGCTTTCTTTCCACCATCTGGTGTCCCACTTTACAAGCTGCCAGCCCCCTGCCCCCGCAGACCTGACATGCCATCTCCCTGGCTGCCCCCCAGGCCTGGCACCTTCTCCCTCCTCACCTCTGCCTCTGGCCTCCTTCCTGACTCCACTAAAATCTCACTTCTGCTGGTGCCCTTCAACACCAGTGCCTTTCCTCTGGCCTACCTGCGCTTATCTAGTGTGGGCAGGCTGTGAGCTCCCTGAAGCCAAGGATAAAAAACATCCTCTCCTTGCATCCCACCCACTTAGCACAGTGCCTGGCACCTAGACAGTGCTTGGTGAATGCTTCTGGACTTGGAGACTTAGTAGCAGCAGGGAGGGGCAGCTAATGCTGAGGGAAGTCTGATGGCCAAGCCCTGACTATGCTCTCCCTGGGGTGCCTCTTTCCCAATGTCCTCAGAGTCCCACGGCCACTGGGGCTTCTTGGTGGAAAAAGGTCTCAACCAACCAAGGGAGGAGAAGATGATGGGTCACTCTGTCACGGTGAGTGTCATCTACCTTCCCATGCGGTGAAATCTTAGCGGGAAGATGCCCACTGAGCACACCGAGATCTCTAGGATACTGAAGCTTAAGTTCATATTTCTCAGAAAGGGAGTAACACGTCATCGTCTATCTGCAAAACCAGGAAGAGATATTTATTCACCACTGACGTGTCTCCACACCTTAAGAAAACTGACCTTTTTGGTACACAGCCACAGTTCTGCTTAGTAGTTTATCTTTTGTTTACAGAGATGAAGTATGACTGTACCTTGAAGAAAGAATAACTGTGGGGGCGGCTATTTACTCTTGTATTCTGCCTGTGAAAAGTGGTGGAGAATTATACCAAGAGCAGTAGTCAAGGATTTAGAGTGGGAGATTGAGAGTGGTAAGGGACCTTGGAGGCCAACTAATATAACTCACTTTAGAGACAAGGAAACTAAGGCCCAGAGAAGTTCAATGGCTTGCCCAAGGTCACACAACTGGTAAGTATCTGAGGCAGGATTCCAATCCAGATCTCTTGACTCCAAATCCAGTGCACTCTCCACTACACCACACCACCTACCCCCTCCATTCAACCACTCTGGATAGTAACAATTCCTAAGTCTAAAGGTTTGTAGGGCTCATTTCTTCCAACAACCTTCTGAATATGAATCTCATTCCAAGGAAATGTGCAAAAGTTATAGCTCCTAAAGAGCACCCTTCAATGACTCTAGCAGATATTGGGCTGTTGGTATGGAAAAATCAAGCATTCCTGAGATCATCCAAGTCCACAGTGAAACAGGATCAGTAGCACCAAAGGCCAAAGGGAAGTTTAGCTGAAAACAACCTTTAGAAGACAAGCAGAGATCTTCAGAAGGACCCGGCAGATGAAGGAGTTGTTACAATTCCTCTACAATTCACCAACGCCTCCCTGACATTGAAGAACAGTGAGAAGACGGATAAAAAAAGAGCTTTCCTCATTACCATGAAGAAAAAACACTTTTCAGGGCATCACGTCAAGTCAACTTCATTAGGAGGGTTTTTGAGGTAGAATAGATTACTCTACAGGTAGTGAGCCCCCTGTGACCCTCAGATCTGAAAACAAAAGCTATATGACCATGGTAGGCAGGATGTGTGCTGTGAAGTTTGGATTCAATCAAAGGGCCGCACTTAAGGACCTAGAGGAGCACACGCGGCCTCGAGGCTGCAGGTTCTCCATCTCTGCTGCAGGGTGTACGGTGGGAGGGATTCTTTTTAGGGTACAATTGGACTGGAGATCTACTGAGAGTTCTCATAACTATGAAATTCTGTGGTCTGAAATGCACTGGCGCGTTGTCCAGAATAAAATAAAATATTGACTTGAAACCTTCCATCTGTTCCCTTTTACAAAGAGACAAGTGTGGCACAGACTGTCAGGGACGAGGGTGACAGAGAAGGTGGAGCTCAAGGAGGTGGGGTCCTCATTAAGGAGGACTTCATGGAGGAGGTGAGACTTGGGAAGAAGGAAGGCACCCTGGGAGAAAAACAGAAGCAGTGCCAGATTGGGGATAGAGGAGTCAGACGGAGACTTTGCCCCCAGCTCCGTGCTCTGGGCCTCAGTCTCCTCCCTTATATAAAGTGCCCCTGAAAGAGCTAGGCATGGACTTGCTGGAGCTATGCGGAGCCTGTGGGACAGTCAACACACTGACAAGGGCGTAAAGGGCAGCTCATCTCGGGGGTCCCAGAAGGTGGATAATCCAACAGACTTCCCTCCTCTCAGCAGGAAAGTGAGGAACTTTGGGTGCAGAATGCTGCAGACCCAGCCAATGGCTCTGCCATTTTTCTTATTCCAAGGGAGGCCTCTATTGTAAGGGAAGGGGAGTTCTTTGGGAGGTGGAGGAGGTCTTTAAAGCAAAGATGCCAGTGAGACTTTTAAAGAACCCTTGACTATTTCTGAGCCATGCACTTAGGGGCTTGCTTCCCACCTCCCTCCCTCCCTCCCTCAAGCAGCAGCAGCAGCACCAGCACCCAAGCACCGCTGGGGGCAGCTGCAGCTCCCTCCTACCCCACCTGCTGCAGAGACCTCACCTGAGGCTGAATTTCTGCAAGGCCCCCAACACATTCTCCCGGGTGAGCAGGTCCTTGTCTTCCTCCTTCAGTCTCTCCTCCAGCATCCTCAGTAGCTTGGTGTTCTGGGAGAGGTACAAGCGACCTAGGACAGTGGAGGGGGTGGAGAAGAGGTTCAATCTTGATTACGTCAGGGGCACTCCCCAGACCATCCCTGCATTGCGTTAGCACAGGCCTGGCTTGGGGGAATGAGAGGGGAGAATGCATTTTAAAAATAATATTCAAGGATTTCTTTCCACAAAGCAGTATTTGGGCAAACTATGGGTATGATGTGAAGACAAGAAAGGCTACAGCTGGGGACATCAGCCACAAAACATACATGCTCATCCGTTCTGAATGAGGTTTTCTTAAAGCCTTTTTGGGTGGAAGAAGTCAAGACTGAGGTCTATGTAAAGGGGGTGATCCTGAGAGGTGGTCACCAGTATGGAGGCCCCTGACCACACCTCTTTCTCCTGGGAATACTCGGGGAGGGAATGCCGAAGCAGCAGCAGCATCAACCCTGTAACTGTGCAGAGGCCGGACTCTGGGACTAGTCTAGCAGATGGAAATCACCAAACAAAAGAAGCAGGCTATGGCTCTGACCCCACAGTCCAGTTCAAAAGCAGGTCAAAGGTGGGCTGCAATTCATCAATGGCCCATGAGTAAAAATACCAGCTGTGCCTTCCTCAGGTGCCATCTCAGAGCCTCCTGGGGTACTGCCATGAGTCATGGGTGTGTGGGGGGACACAACGTAGAACCAGGGCTGTCCATCAGCACTGAGTTCCCAGGTTAGCCCACACTGAGAAGCGTACGTGGTAGAGTAGAACGTCAAGAGAGCTGAATTTAAATCCTGGAGTTGATACTGACTTGTATGACTTTGGGCAAGTCACACAACCTTTCTGAGCCTCAGTTTCCACATCTGTAAAATGAGGTTAGAAAGACTTGTACAACCTACCCTGCAGGAAGGGAGGAGGTGGGGTCTATGATGCGGCCAATACTCTGTCAACTTGAAAGAACTATGCCAATGTGTTGCTTTTATTGAATAACTGACTCACAACATTTGAGAAGCTGGAGACTTCTGCATGCACACCCAGATGTGCTCAAACCAAAACTGAATCTGTGGAAAACCAAGACACCTCATTCTAAGAGAGGGCTCCCTCTGTGCCTGGGACCAACAGTGGCTTGTCTTTGGGATCTGTGGATTCACTTTGATTTAGAAAGCTACACCCTCCTGAGGGAGAAGGTGGAGAAGGTGACTGGAAGTCAGTTTTGATGGCCTCTTCCATTTTGTGGTGCCCTGAAGAGGGCACTGCCAAGTGCTGGTGGTGCCCTCTGGGCACCCTGCAGAAAGTCACCAGGCAAGGCAAATCCCAGACAGTCTCTGTGCTTGGCTAACAACAACCCCAGTGAGCTGCTTGCAGCCCCGTTAGGAGGCACCAACAAAGGGAAGAACCTTGGGAGCTCCCAGAATTTCCAACCCATGGCCACGAGTGGACCACGTGCGGTGAGTGGGATCCCACCCCTCACCTTCGCAGAGGGATGCAAAGGCATTGATGAGCCGCGCCATGTACTGTCGGACCACGTCACTCTTGGAATGCAGAAGCTGGAGCACGTTTCTCTGTAGGAAAAAAGCCCAAAGTAAAGAAGGAGAGAACTGGGAATGATCTCGAGTGCCTTTCTTACCAAATCTATGCGTGAGGAAAGGTCGGAGCTGCACACACAAACGGGGTTGTGCCCACGTGGCCATTATCTTTTCCCCCAACCCATTTTTCTCACCCTTCCAGTCTACTTGGTCCCTAACTTCAGTAGGATCCCCCCCCCCCACTCTGGCTCACCTCATGTATCCAATCAGTTGCCTTTCTACTTTCACGAGTAGCTCCTGCATCCAACCCCTTCCCTCCACTGACAGTCACCTCCCCTCCATTAGTGCCGGCAGCCTCTTAACTGGCCTCCCAGCCTCTCCCTTCTCTTATCTGTCCCTCACACCCCAGAGATCTGAAGACGCGACTCCTCTCCTCCATCTGCTCCAGTGACTTCCGGTTATCTCCACAGAGAGGCCACAAAGCCCTCTGCTTAGCTGGAAAGCCCCCAGCCTCCTTGGACTCTGCACTCTAGCCTCAGCTGTCTGGGCCACGTTCTGCATTCTGTTTCCAAGCCCTCCCTGGTCATCCCTCTGCCTCGGATGCCCTCTCTCCCTAGCTCTGCCTCACACGGACCCTCTCTTCCTTTACGAGGCAGCCCATTTTGTACATGAAGCCCCCTCCTCTCCTACGCAGAACTGTTTCTAATTTACTTTAGATTCATGCTGTGTAGACACACATGTGCTTGTCCCCCAGTTGGAATGCCAGCTTGTTGGGAGTGAGGATGGCGAAAGTTGCCAAAACAGTTTCTGGGAATGTTGAGCAGCCCAGAGAGGGTGTGTCCCTGCAGAGACGGTGTGGAGAGGGCCCAGGCCTCTCTGAAACTGGGCTCCATGCTATCAGTCCAGACTGACTCACTTGACTCCTCTTCAAACACTTAATACTGTAGCCAAACTGGACCGCCCGATGTTTTGTCTCTGCCTCTGTGCATTTGTACAACCTAGCCCGGTACTGGAGCACTCTCTCTCCTCCTCGTCCTGCCTTCAAGGCTCAGCTCAGATGCCACCTCCATGAAGCCCTCCCTTAAATCTCAGTGCCTGTGCTTTGTGCTTTCTCTCTCCTCAAAATACCTTCTATTTTAGTTACAACACAGCTAAGAATTTTAATAGAGTCAGTGCTGGTCCAGAGGCAGGAAGACCTGAGTGAAACTTACTAGCTATGTGAACCTGGGCAAGTCATATAACCTCTGTTTGCCTCAGTTTCCACATCTATAATATGGGGATAATAACAGCACCGACCTCACAGGTTTGTTGTGAGAATCAGGTGAGGTATTTGTAAAGCTCTTTGTAAACCTTAGAGTGCTATGTAACCATTAGCTATTATTATTATTGTTATCTGTGTATGTATTATAATCCCCAATATACTATAGGCTCCTATGAGTGGGCGTTGTTTCATTTCTAGGTCTGTATCTCTACTACTCGATCAACAAGCAGTCATCAAGTACCTATTATACGTCAGGCACAGCAGGAGGCGATGGGCATACAAAGACAAAAAACCCCAAACGTTTCCTCCCTTCAAGAAGCTTCCATTTTCCTGGGGAAGGTGAGACACACATATGTAATTAATTGTACACAGAATAAAGACAGCCTAAACCTGAGGTCATTAGCTAGGAGGTGAGGGAGACCTGAGAAGGCATCGTGTCCAATGCTCCGAGGCAGAGGCAAGGCAAGGTGAGTCGAGGAGGGAGGGCACACCAGGCATGGGCGATGGCCGGGCAAAGGTGGAAACGAGATTTGTGGGTGTTGTGGGTGAGGAACAGAGAGGGGCCAATCAGTGTGTAACATATAGTCAGAAAGAGAGGTTAGAGTCCATTTGTGAAGGACTTTAAAGCCAAACAGCAGAGTTTACCTTTTAACCTAGAGGTAACAAGAGAGCCACAGGAATTTATGGAGCGAGAGAGTATACCTTAGGAACATCTCCAGAGCAGCGAGGTGGCGCAGTAGAGAGAGCACCAGCCCTGAAGTCAGGAGGACCTGAGTTCAAATCCGGCCTCAGACCAAACACTTGACACTTACTAGCTGTGGGACCCTGGGCAAGTCACTTAACCCCAATTGCCTTTAAAAAAAAAAAAAAAAGAAACATCTCCTTGGGAACTATGAGGAGGCTGGGTGGAGAAGGGAGAGGCCGAGACAGGGAGCCCAATGAGGAGGCGACAAGCCTAAGAAGAGGTCAGAAATGGAAGATGTGATGGACGGAGAAGTGCTGGATGGAACCCTGTGCCAGTGACAGGGGGCGCACCATTTAGGACAGTCATGGTTATGAAAAGGACAGACAAGCAGAAGGCGGCGAGTCTGGGAGGGGAGAGGGGGCAAGGTCTATTCTGGACATCAGTTTGAGCCATCCCTGGGACGTCCAGTTTGGAATGCATAGCAGGGAGATCCCAAGGAACCTGGGAGAGTGTGGTGAGAGGCTGGAAACCTGATTTATGGGGCTGAGAAGTGAATGGGGTCTGCAAAGAGAGGAAGCAGCAGTCTGTGACCGTTTCAAGGAGAGTGGTGGAGACATGGGATGGCAGCAAGAAGGGGCAGGTGGAAGAATGGGGGAGGCCCGGGTATCTTTGCAGACCAGGGAAAGAGCCAGCAGAAAAGGGGACGCTAAAGAGGGGAGAATTCTGAAGAGACGGGAAGGGGTGGCATCTGGGGCACAACTGCCCTGAGGTGGGCCTTGACCAGGCCATCTCCTCCTTGCACAAGAGTGAAGGAGACAAGGCCGAGGATTCCAAGGGGAGATGGAGAAGCTCATGGTGTTCCTCGGACAGCTAGGAGGCTGCGTCATCTGTCACGAAAGTGGGGAGAAGGCTCACGAGAGCCATCGTGGGCAGTGTGATGAGTCTGTCAGGGAAGAACTGTTAGGCAATGGGCATACGAGCAGAGAAGGCCTTGGTTAAAGAAGGTAGCAAGGGCTAGGGATGCAGATCATGGCGGAACTGATCGCCCACAAGCTGACTCTGAAGTGAGGAAAGGGAGAAGACAGCGGCGTCTCCAGACCCTGAGGGGACAGAAGGGGGCTGACAGCAGCAAATGGGGCAGAGGCCGCGGGGGATGAAGAGCAAGAAAAGACCGCCTCTTCAGCAAGTCAGCCCGATGCTGAAGGAGGCTGGAAGCCAGACTGCAGCTGGCTAAGAAATGAGTGAGAAGTGAGGGAGTGGAGACAATGAGTGGAGATGGTTTTCCGGTCTGTTTGGCTGAGAAAGGGAGGAGAGATTTGGATGAGAGTGTAGGGCTTGGCAGGGACTAGGGAAGGATGGAGGGCCAGGGGCCTGTCGGAAGGCAGCAGCAGATCGAGGAGATCTAGGGCACAACTGAGGGGCAGTCTGCTGGGGGTGATCCGATGGGCAGCCAATTCTGAAATTCCCCTCTCAGATGATAATTACTTGGCCTTTCATCCCTTCTAAGACCTCACTCCCAGACCTAGTCTTTATCCTCAGGACCATCTGCAGTCACCTCATCCTTTTCTGTTCTCCCAGTTATCCCTCTATTATACTGCTCACAGTGGCTAGCCTGGACCTTCACCAGATGAGGCTTAGAGTCAGGAAGACCTGAATTCAAATGTTGCCACAGACACTTAATTAGCTGTGGCACCCTTATGGACAAGTTATTGAACCTGTTTGCCTCAGTTTCCTCTTCTTTCTCCCAAGGTTGTTGAGAGAGCTAGTATTTGCAAAGTGTTTCCTAAGCCTTAAAGTACTATGTAAATGCTTCATTGCTGCCTGTGGATCATGGGCAGTTTATCAAGGTCCTTACTCAAATGTGGTGCCCAGAACTGAACTTGGCATTCCAGTTCTGTCCATCAGGGCTGAGTACAGAAGGAATAAGCTTAGCTCCTAGTTCTGGCGCTAAGCCTCTCCATGCAGTCGGAGATTGCAGTAGCTCTTGGGGAATGACATCCCCCTGATGACTCAGGTTAAGCTTGCCAGCCACTATGGCCACCAGATCATTTTCAGATGAAATGCTGGCTTAAACTGCTGCCTAGCCACACCTTCTCTGCCTCCTTTTTGGAGCCTAAGCACAAACCTTTATGTTTGGCCTTACCAAATCACATCTTATTCTAAGTCGCCTCATGCTTCAGCCCATCAAGATCCTTTGGACCCCGATGATTCACATCCAGGGGAGCAGCCATCCTCCTCTCCTCACCTTCGGCCATCCACAAATCTGAGGCCGACGGCACCGATCCCTTCACAAGCTGCCCAAAGGCCGGCTGCACTGGGGTTAGCAGCGAAAGGATCACTGGCTCCCCGGGAGAATAGGAAGGGAAGGTGGGAAGCCTGGTTCATGGGACTGAGACCCCATGAGGGTAGAGGGTACAGAAGTGGAAGAGGCAAGAGTCCCCGGCTGGTTCTTCTCCTTGGTGCTGTTTGTCCTTTGTTCTGGGAGGGGATCAATGACATCACGGGGCGACGTCTTGACTCCTGCGTGGACCGGATTAAGTCAAGCAGAGCTGAGCAAAGTCCTCGGCCTCACTCTCTCCTCCTGAGATGTGCAAGTTCAACGGCAGGACCGGGCCTAGGAAGCAGTGGGTGACCTTGGCCTTTCTAAGTTAGGGTCCTTCTCAGGCCTCAGTTTGTCTGAGGCAACACCCATTCAATGACCAAGGGCTAGATAAGAACTGAGAGAAAAGAGGGCCTAATTGACCATCACAAAATTATTGACCTAGGAGGAGCTTAGGAGAGGAGGTGCGGGAGAGGAGGTGGGATGACAGCCTGAAGGGGGTTGGGGCAGAGTGGCTGTGTCTGCTGGGGCAGAGAGGGTAGAACCACGATCAATGGGTGGCAGTTTCAGAGACAGAACAGTTGGGGCCGTGAGCTGATTAGGCTGCAAGGTGCCAATGATCTTAATGCCTTAGCAGCCCTTAGTGGTGGGGCCCCAGGACTGGGCTGTGCTGAATGCCTTGGGAGGATTCTAACAGAAATGGCATCAATTCCCTCCAAGGCTAGGGCACCCCCCACTACCAGGGTCCTGGACAGCCCTGCATCCAGACAGCCTAGCGAAGGGAAAGGACTTTTTAATTGTTTAAATTATCCGCAGGAGGGGCCAGAGAACACCTTGCCTAAGGCAGGCAGAAAGGGTCAAGTCTTCAGTCTGCGCAGGTAACAGGGGTCAGGTCCAGTGTGGAGGGGGTCAGGGAGAGGTCGGACTCCCTGGCCTGGGGGGGTCCTTTCCAGCTCTGAGATCCTCTGAGACCATGGCTTAGTCCTCATCCTCCTCAGCCTCGCTGAAGCTCCAGATGCTGCAGTCTGTCCTCTCTCATTCCCGTGACCCCACATCTCCTCCTTCTCAGGGCCCTTTCTTTGCTGGATCATTGCCCACATTCTCCCATCTCTCAGGGCTCCATCCCAGGCCTTCTCTTCTTGTAAGCTCGGCTCTCAGTGATTCCATTATTGGCTCCATGAAGGAAGACATGTCTGTCTCTAGCCCTACGCACTCTCCTGAATGCGTTCCATACTGTTAGCAGCCTGATGGATATTTCCCATCAACACCCATCTCAGACTCAACATGCCCCAAGCAGATCTTCCCTTTCCTGCTAAGACTCTTCCTCCCCCTCCTCCAGACTGCATTGTGGCACTATCCTCACCTCCTCCCTTCTCATCACCCGCTCATCAACAGCTGAGTCTTCCCGACTCCCTGGGGCTGGCATCTGGTCTTCCTGCTCGTCCCTCCTAGCCACCAGCTAAACTCAGGTCCTCACCACCCCTCTCCTAACAGGCCTCTGTGCTCTGAGTCACCCCTGGCCCGTGGCTGAAGTCTCCTTCCATCGGGCTCTAACCTGCCTTGCCAGGAGGACTGACCCTGCCCCCAGCCACACTCTCCCTCCCCTCGCCCGTGTCTGAGCACTGATCCAAGCACCCCCTGCTTCGTGGCAGGCTCCCTCTCCAGACAAGCCTTTCCTGATGTACATGGTTCCCTTTCTCTCCCTCCTCCTGCCCTCCCTATATTTCCTTCTGTGCTCATGTTACATCTTCCAGCAGAACCTGGGGCTGGGGAGGGGAGGGTGCCTGGCTTTGTATCCCTAGCCTTATACTTTCTTCCTTTAGGGCCATTCCTCAGGGTAGGAAGGTCTTGGTGTGGAAATGCCCTCTGCCAATGCAGATCAACAACAGCCAGTCTGTGACAGACAACCTGAATCTCTCAGAGATTAAGTGACTTGTCCAGGGTCACATAGAACATGTGTATCATAGCTTGAACTATTTACTGAATTAAATTTCTATGTAAACACCCATGTAACAAGGAAAAGCTGGATTAATTCACAAGTTCAATTTAAACAGCCTGATTTCTTAGACTCTATGCCGTTGACGTCCCATGAGATCACAGACATGGGGTGCCGAGCAGTTATGCATGTGAATTTTCAGGGAGAATTTCTGACCTTCCTGCTTGTGCTACCCACATAGAACCTGAACGCTTTCCTCAAGAGGAAACCAGACAACCAAAAAAGGGCGAGGATTTCGGTGGGAAACGGATCAATTGTCTGGCCTTTCAAGCGACTAAGTGATCCAAGCCACAGGACAAAAGGTCAACAAAGAGCCAGCATGGGTGAGATCACGTGACCACAAACCCTCCCCGCGGCCTCCCCTCCTGCCCCACGCCTCTCTGGGCCTTGTTCTTCTTTCCACTGACACAGAAAGGCGAGGAAGGGACACAGGTGACCCTTCTCAAGCCTCAACTGTCACCTCAGCAACGAGGCGAAGGTCAGAGACCACAGCTGGGCAACATGACTGTGCTGTCAGTGTGGACTCTGGACAGAAAAGGGAGCTCTGAGTCAGGAAGCCTGGGCCTGCCTCTGAGACACACACACACACACACACACACAGAGACACACAGACACACACACACACACACAGACACGCAGACACACAGACACACACACACAGACACGCAGACACAGATGCATAGACACACACATACAGACATGCGGACACTCACAGACACATACATGGACACACAAACACACAGACAGATATACACAGATACAGACACACACACATACAGACAGACACACAGACACACACATACAGACACACACTCACAGACACACACATGGACACACAGACACAGACGCACAGACACACAGATGCACAGACATACATACAGACACACAGATGCACAGACACACACATACAGACACACAGACACACACATACAGACACAC